GTAGAATTTAACATTCAGAAATACTATAGTTACTACAAAATGGATTGTTAGAATTTTTGTGGAACAGCGCCCTGATCTGTTCCGTCCCAGTGACATTATGATAACCTATAGCGGTGCACGGCCTATAATATTATTGAATATGTATCAGACTTACAATAAAAAGAGTAGAAATAAGATTGTATAAAAATAGTCTCTGTAGGTTTTATGTTGACTAGATTATTCCAAAATAGAGATAAATCTATCATCTTATAATATAGTCGCTTGGAATTAATTATATGCGCATATATTAACTTTGATAACGGAATAATGATGGAAAAATAAAAATTTTCTTTAAAAATCTGAGAGAATAAAGATATGCTGAACATGAAATACTAATTGAATACAAACGAAAAATTTTAAAAATATACCTGCACTGGTCAAGCACCTTGATATTACTAACGAGTAAAAATTAACGAAGAGTTTAATTAATGAATCAATTAACAAGATTATTGGTCAACAAAGATGTAGAAGTTTTATTTTTATCACAAACTGTTTTTGATAAATCAAACGATTAAAAAAGGCCTTCATATTTTCTATGTGAGATTGCATCGCAAATTCAACTCAACTCTAAACAGAGTTAAAACCAGATCGCATCAAAAAAACTAACAATTTGTTGAAAATATCAGAATTTCTGTCATATTTCAACAAAACTCTTAACAAACTTGTTTAAAATATCCCAACTCTTCTAGTTTGTAAATCAACTTCTCTATAAAACCAGATTGCATCCAAATTTATAACAAAACTGTTAAAAATATCGGAATTTCAGAAACCATCCCATCATGCAATTCAACAAAGTTGTGAAACTTTTGTTTACAGCCTTCTAGACTATTTTCAATTTACAATATGGGAGTAATTGTAAAATTCTGTATATAACTGATATAACATAGTGAATATTGAATATTGATACAGATATTTTTTAAATAAACTTAATATTGCTATCAAAAATGGACAACGAAAACTCTGAAATTTGAATTTTATAAATAGAATATGGGCTAAACTTTGTAATTCATTAAAAAGATTATAATTATGTACAAACAAATTATATTTTAAATTAATATTAACTTAATAACAGATGTTTATAACTTAAACAAAACATTTTATCAGAAAACTTCCAAAATAATATTGTATTGACTTATTGAACTTATATTGTTAATGTAATAGAATTTTTTAAATTATCAGAATTTTCCCAAGAAATGTCAGAATACTTTTTAATTAAATAATCTTGACAACTTTGTGTTAATGTTTAAAATTATCCAAAAAATGTTCATTATACTTGTCTATCTTAAAACCTTTTATGACTATGACTTTTATTCTAAATCTGCCCCAAAAAATAATAATATTAATTAGCATTTTATATAGATTCTAAATCATTATTAGTTCTTATATGTTTGCCATTTTGAAACTCGTATTTTGAGTAGTATTAGGACTCTAATTATGTTATAGTGTAGAATACGAGTAAGTATACGGGAAAAGATTAAAAACTACCGAACTACGCGATCTAAAATTAATATCAAATAAAACTATATAGGATACAGATATCGTTTTCTACAGAGTTATCTACCTTTATAATGTTACATACGAGAAAATACGTCGAACGAGGTAGAAGTTTCTTTTTTGGTTCCGTAACAAATTATGGGTATTATAGAGCTAATAAAACTGGATATAGTGATGTTACAGAAAATTCAAAAAGTTGCCCAAAATAAAAATTCATATTAGGTATGATTTGGGACCTTTACAATCAAATAAAACTAATTAATTATTCTTTGGTAATTAAAAACAAACTCGTTATCGTTAACAAACAATGTATGAAAATTACGATGTAAAAAAACAATGTTTTAATTTCATTTACAAAAAAAACAACGAAGATTTGACATTAGATTAGATAACAAGAAATTGAAAAAAAAAATCATGAAAAAATTCCCAATTCACATTTTACACCATCTTTATACAAAAAACTTGATTTAAAATATTTACAGGTATCTTTAATATAAATTAAAAATACTCTCAAAATAAGAAAATAAGAAAAAAAGCAAAAAAAAGCAAATAAAAAAAGAGAAAAAAATTCCATGCTACTCTACAATTAATCGCTAACAAAATTAATGCATTAGAAACTAAAAAAAAGTTAAAAAAAACATGAAAGGAAGATTCGATTTTAATTTGAAAACAGAATAATCTTTACTTTTCAAGAAATCACTTAGAAAAAAATCAAGCCTTGTGTACACTAGAAAATCTCACTCTAAATTTCAGCCAGAAAATTTCACCTAAAGCTTAAGAAAGCAAAACCATTCCAAACATACACTTTCTTTTTCAATTTTCTTGGCATACAAAAGGCTTAATTTATATGAAATATATTTATGCATAATTTAATCAAAGTTGACCAAGACTAAATTAGATAGCACTATAAAAACACGAAGGTCCAACTGGTGTTTATCATTTACAACATTGTTGATAGAGAGACGTTTCTGACATAGAGACAATGACAGTTTGATGTCCTGTAGTTGACTTTCACTTCTAATTTGTTTATATTTCAATAAAGAGCAAAACAAGCCACCGTAGAATATAAGAAATAGGGGGGAGGGGCTGAATACCCAGGGTAATCAATGATTTGAGACAATAGTCAGGAAAACTCCAAAACATAAACTAGTATTTTTTGGTGCCCATTACAGAGATGGAGTTTTTAAGGCAAAAATTCTTTGACTTAAAAAAGGTAGAATTGAATTGTTTTTGCATCTCATTTAATAGATGTTTTTTGGGTCAGTTTTCTCAGCCCTTTTTATCCCCTATAATCACAGTTATTACTAATAATTTTAATATATTTAGTATCATTTGTTCAACTACAGCACAAATCAAATTGTTTTTCTCTGATCTAGAACAGGTTTTTAACAAACAATGCGGTCAAGCAAAGCAAATTTCATTTTATCAGACACACTAATATTCATGCTGTTTTTTTTTAGTTAAAAATTCAGAATAATGTTAATTGAACAAACAAACAAAATTGCTTCAAAATCTTCTAACACAGTAGCAAAGCTTCTCAAAATATCAAAAAAAAAACACAAGCACAAGTCAAACAAAACACTAAAACATTTTAATTTTCATCTCTATTGTAGAGAGAGAGAGAGTTGTTAGAAATATTAGTCTAGTTCTAATCTACCAATATTATCAAAACGTTTTATTTTAAGACTAAAATAAACTTGATAAAAATAATATCTAAATTTCTGCATGCTCTGCCCCTACCGAATTGTTGGCAACTTGTAGCTGGGCCATCTGAGAACTGAGATGTGACATCACATGTGTGCTGGGATCAATCCCCGCGTTTGTTGGGGGCGGGACTTGAGATTGGATCATCTGGAAGACACCCAAAATTCGAATATTCAAACGAAATGTTTGTAAAAATCATAAAATAAATTTCGGAAATTAAAATAAATTTAATAAAAAACAAAATTAAAATGAATTTTGTAGATTTTGGGTTTGTTCAAGTTGTTTTATGTAAACTGAAAAAATTTAAAATTAACAGAATGTTACGTATGGTTAAACATAAAATAATATAAATTTGAAAAAATAGAAAAAAGTTAGAAAAAACGTGGGGAGTAAAATTTTTGGTTAAAATCCAATTCACCACAGCAAACCAACAAAAATTGATAAAAAAAGCGAAAGTTTTTCAGGCGATTTTTTGAAAATCTTTATTGAGAGCATGTAATGTGTTAGATGTGTTTTTTGGTCCGATAATTCTTGTGTTCCGAAGATCAATCGAAAGGGGAGAGCATCCATTTAGAAATTCAAATATGCAAATAGAAAAGATAAATATGAATTGTAAGTCTTAACGAGAGAAATTAAACGAGGTTTAAAAATAAAATCACGAACTGCAACGAGTAATTTTGACCTTTTATAGTTCGCTATCGAATTAAGTCTTGGTCAACGTTCAATTTTTAATAACTTAATTTTTTGAAAATAATATCTAGCACTAAACAACAAAATCTTGGCCAAATTTACAAACTATTATACAATAATTCCCCAAAACTTCATTTTCAGATAATTAGCAATATTTTAACGTCCATGGAAGACAGAATGGCAAAATAATCACGTTTTCAAACAAGATTTTAATTTATTCACAAAGTCACAAAATTTCAGAAAATGAAGCTGGGGGTCGTATTTATTAATTTTTTGAACAAATTACAATTGAGAAACATTTGTTGAAGTTTTTTTAATGGCATGCAAAAGTTATTTAATTGTAGACATATATATATATATACTTGGAAGTCTAAAAAAAGGAATTATAATATTTATATATATATATTGCTCGTCACAATCCATGCGTTTGTTTATTTCGTACACAGTGTTATATGCACTATTATGATGCGTGTTAAAACTTCTTTAAAAAGATCCTCAAAAAATCCTGTAAAAGCTAAGATTCTTTATAAACATCACGTTTTATTTCCCATCATTCATTCATTTATCGTAGAATCCATCCAAAATCCGAACAAAACTCAACAAAAATTTTTAAGGCACAAATATGTGCTCTCAGTTACTCATTAAAACTTGCACAAAAAATGCAAAAAAATTGATATTTCTCCGTAAGATATGATCGTAAACACTTTAATATGACATCATTATATGTTTATAGAGATAATTAGCCCTAAACCACAAGAACTCATTTTATATTCGGATAAAAATCATCGCCATAACAACAAGTTCTTGTGATTTTTTGGTCAGAAATTTTATTATAAAAGGGGAATAACTCCAGAATCACTTCTGCTGCATCAAAAGACAGAAATTGTTGAAATTTTGGAGAAAACAGAGAAACAACAAATAGAATTTAAAAAGAAAGATGGAGGTGTTGGTATGGTTACGTGCCACCAGCCAATCAAATCAAAGTTTAGATATTATGTAGCAGAAGTGTAATAATTTCCACCAATCAAAAGATGTTTAGTATTAAAGTAGGTGGGGTTGTGATATCCAGAAATCTAAGTGAAGTGAACTTGAGGGATACTAACATGTGGAATCTGAGGCTGCATTATATATTGGGGATGAACCCACCCGGTCTGGGTGCTTGACATTTGGTAGGAAGAAGCTGGGGTTGTTGCCACGGAGGTATATCTCGGCACCATGCCAGCAGACAGCAATGGATGGCCAGCAACACTGGAAAACAAAATAGCATTCAAAATCAAAATAAAACAACACAAGTTGGCAACACTGTCAGACAGCATTCAAATTTTATACACGTTTTACAAAATAAAACAACACAAGTTGGCAACACTGTAAGACAGCATTCAAATTTTATACACGTTTTACAAAATTAAACAACACAAGTTGGCAACACTGTCAGACAGCATTCAAATTTTATACACGTTTTACAAAATTAAACAACACAAGTTGGCAACACTGTCAGACAGTATTCTAAGAGTGTTAGAATGAAATTGGCTACATACCAACATTTTGAAAGACTTTAAGAACGACGTAAAATAAATTTCAGTTTCACAATCGGCCATTTTGCTTTTTATGAAGGTGAAATACCATCATTAACAGTAATACTTGTAAGATATTTAGAAGTATCACTGCACATTAAGAAACAACAGTTTTATAGATATAGACGTCTATTTAGTAAAGATCAATTATCACTTGATAACGTTACCTGAATGTGTAATGAAACATTGTGCTTGAGAACGTTATCTGTATGTGTAATGAAACATTGTGATTGAGAGCGTTACTTGTATGTGTAATGAAACATTGTGTTTGAGAACGTTACCTGAATGTGTAATGAAACATTGTGCTTGAGAACGTTACCTGTATGTGTAATGAAACATTGTGCTTGAGAACGTTACCTGAATGTGTAATGAAACATTGTGCTTGAGAACGTTACCTGAATGTGTAATCAAACATTGTGCTTGAGAACGTTACCTGAATGTGTAATGAAACATTGTGCTTGAGAACGTTACCTGAATGTGTAATGAAACATTGTGCTTGAGAACGTTACCTGTATGTGTAATGAAACATTGTGCTTGAGAACGTTACCTGAATGTGTAATGAAACATTGTGCTTGAGAACGTTATCTGTATGTGTAATGAAACATTGTGCTTGAGAACGTTACCTGAATGTGTAATGAAACATTGTGCTTGAGAACGTTACCTGAATGTGTAATCAAACATTGTGCTTGATAACGTTACCTGTATGTGTAATGAAACATTGTGCTTGAGAACGTTACCTGTATGTGTAATGAAACATTGTGCTTGAGAACGTTACCTGAATGTGTAATGAAACATTGTGTTTGAGAACGTTACCTGAATGTGTAATCAAACATTGTGCTTGAGAACGTTACCTGAATGTGTAATCAAACATTGTGCTTGAGAACGTTACCTGAATGTGTAATCAAACATTGTGCTTGAGAACGTTACCTGTATGTGTAATGAAACATTGTGCTTGAGAACGTTACCTGAATGTGTAATGAAACATTGTGCTTGAGAACGTTACCTGTATGTGTAATGAAACATTGTGATTGAAAACGTTATCTGTATGTGTAATGAAACATTGTGCTTGAGAACGTTACCTGTATGTGTAATGAAACATTGTGCTTGAGAACGTTACCTGTATGTGTAATGAAACATTGTGCTTGAGAACGTTACCTGTATGTGTAATGAAACATTGTGCTTGAAAACGTTACCTGAATGTGTAATGAAACATTGTGCTTGAGACGTTACCTGAATGTGTAATGAAACATTGTGCTTGAGAACGTTACCTGTATGTGTAATGAAACATTGTGCTTGAAAACGTTACCTGAATGTGTAATGAAACATTGTGCTTGAAAACGTTATCTGTATGTGTAATGAAACATTGTGCTTGAAAACGTTACCTGAATGTGTAATGAAACATTGTGCTTGAGAACGTTACCTGTATGTGTAATCAAACATTGTGCTTGAGAACGTTACCTGTATGTGTAATCAAACATTGTGCTTGAGAACGTTACCTGAATGTGTAATCAAACATTGTGCTTGAGAACGTTACCTGTATGTGTAATCAAATATTGTGCTTGAGAACGTTACCTGTATGTGTAATGAAACATTGTGATTGAAAACGCTACCTGAATGTGTAATGAAACATTGTGATTGATAATGTTACCTGTATGTGTAATGAAACATTGTGCTTGAGAACGTTACCTGAATGTGTAATGAAACATTGTGCTTGAGAACGTTACCTGTATGTGTAATGAAACATTGTGCTTGAGAACGTTACCTGTATGTGTAATGAAACATTGTGTTTAAATAATAAATAGAAGTCTATATCTACAAAACTATTGTTTCTTAACCATTAACAGTGTTTCAAAGTTTCGTGTCGTCTATGAGTAATATATAAAATCGTGACTTATATCAATGATTGATTAACAGTGAAAACATGAGGAAGAATACATACCCATTAAGATTGGCTGCTAGTGCAGGAGGCTCGTAGAATTGAAGAGCTTGATATAATTCCTGTAGAAAAAACAGAACAATAAAAATACCAAAATAAAAATTATTAGCTATGTGGACTCTCTGAAAAGGATTCCAAGTTGACAAACTAAAAATTTCCTTAATTCAAAAATTTGAATCGTTTCAAGCACCATTGCTTAAGTCGAATTTTGCCAAAAGAAAAATGTGAAATGTTCCCAGCATGCAGTATAATTAGGGCCATATGCAGTGCTCGTACTTTACCTAAACTTGACTAAAATTAGACTTAAGTCGCACTTTAGGTATGCACCGGTCGATCTTTATGAAAGTCGTGCTTAAATTTGACTATCAAATGTAGAAAATGAAAGCCTTTATCCTAACTTTGTAAAGTTCGACTTTAGCCAAAGTTCAACTTTAGTCAAGGTAAGAGGGCTGCATATGGCCCTAAGCCTAGATGCTTTGCTTTGGCCATTATTTCTGGAAACCTTGGCTATGGGTCCAACCAAAGCGTAGTTTCCTCTATCTGAATCGTTCCCAACATGCAATATAATTCCAAGAGGAAATACTGACCTCATCACGAGCAGTTTGTAACAATCGATTCTGTTGGAAGAAAGTTGTTGTCGCTTTTTTCTTGTTTTGTGTGTCTGCAAATTTGACAACTAATGGGTCTTTACATCCTGAAATGAGAAGAAATTGAAATTATTATAAAATTAAGAAAACTGTTCACTCATTGAATAACCTACGGAGTTCGTTAAGGGATTTATATAGAACTAATAGAGACAAATAACAACAGTAACTGGAGTTATTTCCCTTGAATCAATATCACTGTATATCATAGTATCGACAACATTAGTGCTTCAGGATTTTGTGTTTTATTTATTAGAACTATAATCAACTACTGAAAACTATATAATACACCATCACACAGTGGAATGATTGGTAGAGAATGGATACCAGTAGCCAAAGGGGAGGCAGAGAAGGCAACTGCTCCCCCTCGCAGCCCCAAAAGTAAGTTTTTCGGGCAAAAATCTCATAACTGGCAATCTCAAATATTTCGCCCCTGTGTGTTGTGGGTTTGAATCCTCCTTAAGATAAGGAAAACTCTGATGCCACAGTCCTAAATATAGTGAAATAAACAACATACTACTCTTCTCATTATAGAAACTCATAGTGAAATCAACAACATTAACTAGAGTTGTTTCCCTTGAACCAATAGCACTGTATTTCTATTATATATCTAGGAAATTATTACGCTAAAATACTGCAGAGCTACAAAATAACTAGACTCTGTAACTCAAGGCGCGATAATTGATGAATGAATCAAGACAGTGAAATTATGACAATGCAGGTCTACAAGACTATCTGACTTTGTAATTCTGTGACAAGGTGTGATTGATATTACAAAATAAACACCCAACTAACCTGGTAATACTTTCTTGTTGAATGCATCGATTACGTTTTGACATTTTTCTCGAGCTTCCATTCTGCAGAATCCAACACATTTACTCTCACCACTCTGTCCACGTAGAATTCTAGTTGATATAACTGTACCATAATCTTTAAACAAAGCCTCTAAATTCTGTTCTGAGAAATATATAGGCAGATTTGCGATATAAAGATTGGTGGGATCTTGCTCTTGCTGCTGAAATAATCAAAAATATACCAGAAATTAATATTACAGAGCTAGAATTATTACAGAGCTAGAATTATTACAGAGCTAGAATTATTACAGAGCTAGAATTATTACAGAACTAGAACTTTTACAGAGATAGAACTTTTACAGAGATAGAATTTTTACAGAGATAGAATTTTTACAGGGATAGAATTTTTACAGAGATAGAATTTTTCAAACATTAACATTTAAAGGAACTGGTTCACAATTTTTTTGATCAATCGTACCTTGGTGTACGTTTGAAAGTTAAAAAGACGAGTCGTCTTTTCTTGAGACACTGCCATAAACAGAAAGATATCTAAAGAAATATGAATGGAATAAGTTTTTAACTTCCCATCAGCATCTTGTCCGGCATAGAAAATTAGGAATCAGAATCCCTGGTTATATAAGTTGATTTATTTCGAGTGTTGGGTATTTATTGTGTAAATAGTAAAGTCAGTAGAAATGATAGAGTTGTCTTTATTATGATAAATTACACCAGAGTTTCCGTGGTCAGAAATAAATAACAGTGGACTGACGTGTTCGCTAGCCAGGACAGACAATGTACCAGTCTCAGAATGAAAACAGTAGAGAATAATAACAGGGATATTGAAGAAATTTTTACGATGTAAAATATATTATGATAGATGATAACAAGATCGATAAATATCATCTCAATATCTCACAAATATATCAATATTACTTCCACCCTGCAACTAGTCTATCAGTCTATTCACCAACTCTTTTGGAGATTCCATACAGCTCATCAAGTCAGACACATCAATCCTGTATTTTACTGATCCCAAACAGTTTACTGTAGTTAGAAAGAAACAGCTATATTTTACAAAGATAATAACTTAGGTTCACGGTGAAGGATCCTTTCTATCAGCTGGTCCTTGACCAAACTTCTTGGTATTGATTTTACAAGGAGAACAACTTTGGTTCACAGTTAAGGATCCTTTCTATCAGCTGGTCCTTGGCCAAACCTCTTGGTATTGATTTTACAAGAACAACTTTGGTTCACAGTGAAGGATCCTTTCTATCAGCTGGTCCTTGACCAAACCTATTGGCATTGATTTTACAAGAACAACTTTGGTTCACAGTGAAGGATCCTTTCTATCAGCTGGTCCTTGACCAAACCTATTGGCATTGATTTTACAAGAACAACTTTGGTTCACAGTGAAGGATCCTTTCTATCAGCTGGTCCTTGACCAAACCTATTGGCATTGATCTACCTCGGATTATCCATACTCATTTACAGCTGGGTTGACTGGAATTATGAGTGAAGATGACTTATTCAAGGTAATAGGACTGTCACACGCCCTTTGAGCCATCATTCGCTCGACATTACCAAGAAAATGGTGTCATGTTAAGAACCAACTGACTGTGCTATAAAACCTTACAAACAGAGGCTCTTGCTCCTTAACCTAGGAATCTGATGTTTGTTCCATACATATTATTAACCTCTCTTTGATCAACCAAGATTTCCTGAGTCAGTGATGCAGGTCAGAAGGCTGTTTTGTGCCAAAAACAATATTACATTCAAATATACATGATAGAAAATATCCAGGAACATGTTCTCAAGGCAGATGGTGGATATAAAAAAAACTTAGTTTCAGTGAAGAAATAAACAGAATCCTCTGGTATCTTCAACAATTGGGACACAGTCTAACAGCACCCCCCTCACCCTCCCTCCTCCCCCTTTCCCTTTAAATCATCATGCAGTAGAAATCAATCAAATCAGGCTTTATCTTACACGACATAATATTGAATAAGCTTTATGCAAACTAGCCAATCAAACTCATTGTTACTAAAATAATCCCCTTCAACAACCAATCAAATCAATTGTTACTAAAATAATCCCCTTCAACAACCAATCAAATCAATTGTCACTGAATCTATAATAGTTTGGGACCAATTAGATGTAATGTCTTCATGACTTTGACCAATTTAATGTATTATAATAACAAGTTGTGTACAAGGGTAATATTTACTGTCTTTATCAATTAACTCGGCTGATTTAAAATGGAGAATTTATGACATTAGGATATTAAATTCTAGGTTATTTCTGTCTTGGGAATAACAATAAACATTATGGTACATAGTAACTAGCTAGTATTATACTGGTTTTAAATTATCACCATTAATATCATTTATTCAATTTTCTTTTCCACAAACAGGGAACCTAGCTAGTATCGTACCACTTTTCTGCAACTTATGGGCTAATGAAGACGGGCAACACCATGTAGGGTGCAATGAGGGAAATTTTACCAGGACAGCGACATTAGCCTGCTTTTTTTCGATTTCCAACTGTCGAGGGATCTTTAACATGCACAGCCTGTAGCACACAGGGCCTTGGTTTATTGTCCAATCTGAACGACTAGAAACTTTTTTCACACAGCCCCTCCAACCTGCATCACTGACAGGGGGAAACAGGGTTGAGGTATTATCTAGAGAAAGTTGTCTATATAGATATAACTGATATATACTATATTATTCAAGTTAGAGTAAACAGTATATCAATATCATAAAAGATAAAATGAAAGTAAAGAAATGTAGCCCCTCCCCCAATCATGACCTTAACAATAGATTGTTATAGTAGCATATATAATAGTACAATAGTCTTAGATTCTATACCATAGTTAACTCAATAAAATACATATTTTATCAAATACCAGCATATTTTAAATTATATACTGTATATAACTTAAAAAATCACCAATAGATCTTTTATTTACCTTATATATCTAAATAATTCACTTCATCTGGAAGTCGAAGATATTTTTACATTTACTAATTATGGAACATGGTCTGGGTGTTATTTTTGATTTTTGATCTAGTCTAACCCCCTGTTAATGTTAATTTTAATATTTTCCATCTAAAAATTCTACGTCAGAGTGCAATCGTTTATTATCCAAAAATGATTATACCAAATAAATAATTCTAGAGTTGTGGACTCTCTTAAAGGAACCCTGAGGTGACAAACCAAGATGCAAAGTGGTATTAGGTGTGTTGAAGAGTAAGCATGCCTAGCACCATAGTTATTTCAGTAAACCTCTACTCTCCTAAAGCAAAGTTAAACCTAACATTGAAATTGAAGTAAGAAGTAAAATACATGGAGATGAAATAAAATAGGTGTGTAAGAAAATTTTAACAAATTGACGTCATTTCAATCAGAAGACAAATTGTAATAAACAAATTAAATATAAAATATGATTTGAAATATTCATGATACAATAAATTCTAGGAAGTAAATACAATCCTGGTTGTCATGGTGATATATAGATGGTAACTAAGCAACATCAGATTATGCTCTTTTTAAAAAGAATTTCAGAGGAATAAGAAATTTCTTGCTGTGATTTGGACAGGCCTGATAAAACCATCAAACTCAGAGTATTTTATTATCGACTAAAAACTTAATCCAAAACATTAAACTTTTATATCTCTCAGGGTTGTTGATTTACGTCTATTTGCCAGTCATGTTCAAAGTCATGTGAGTTTTGAAGTTTGAAATCCTTCTTTCAACCTACTTTTATAGCTTTGAGCAGTTCAGATAAATATTGCACATTTTTAAATTAAATAACAGGATTATAAGTCAAGTTCAATACAGTAGCCTGCCCTAACACCTCATGTTATAGGTCTTACTTTATAAAGTGAAAATTAGACCCTCTTGATCCCTGGTTCCCAACCAAGGGTGTTTATACCCCCTGGGGGTGTGGGATTAGGGTGTCAGGGGTGTGGCCAACTGGTGTAGGAGAAGAATTTATTTGAATTGAGAGAGCACCTCATATCATCACATACTAAAAATGTGGATGAAACAAATTTTTGGGGGTGTGAAAGGTCCAGGTGATAGCTACAGGGGTGTGAAGGCTGTGAACTGGGTACCATTGCTCTAGATGCTCAAAATTCATCTTGGTTCTGCTAAATTTGTCTGGAGGCCTCTGTCAGAGCCTATATAGACCCACTGCCTCAAGGGGTTTCGGTCATTAGAGACTTCTTGCCTATTGGCCTTTCACTCTGGCATTTTCTAGACACGCCTCTGTTTCAATATGTAGTCTGTCACGATACATGTAGATTTTCTAAACCCTGTCTCCCCTTTCATTCTTGCAGGTTATTTTATCACTCTAACATGATTGAAATTAAGGCAGAAGTTTTAGATGTAACATTTGAGCACAAAAACCCAAATTTAACCACCACATTGAAATTCAGGTCAGAGGTTTCGGACTATAGTCAACAAGATAAATATATATATATATATACACTGTAACCATGGTTATTATCAAACCTACCCTACCTCTGATTAAATACAATAGACCCCTTATATCAGCTGGGGTAGGAGATAAAACACAAGGTGAAAAGGTCAGGGGGTGGTAGAAGGGTATCTAACTGAATTAATGAGGTTTATAAAGTCTATATTATCTACAGTCACTAGGGTATATCAACTGGGGTATATCAAGATTATACAGCAAGGAAAAACAGTAAGCAGAGGTCTTGTCAAGTTTGCATATGAAAGATCCCTAAAGAAGATAATGCTGTAATCCTCCAATAATTTCTAATTCGACACTGACAGAGTTGTACTACAATAGTTTCATTTGTGATAAAATTATATAGGATTTCCCTCAACAAGAAATCAGAATTCTACTGCTGCTGTCTTGTCAAAATTTCCCCTCATTGCAACACTGGGACTAACACTGGGACTAACACTGGGACTCTCCTAATACAGATAATCTCTTCAGCTGTAATTACTAAGGGGTGTCATCTCTCACTCAATATGGACTCTATTAAACAATAATTATAATATTGCTACAGCATGCTGCTATTAAAACCTGAGGTCCTGGTGCTACAAACCATATAAAACCATCACTTGACAGAAGTTTTATTCAATTAACATGATAAAATACCCTTTATTAGTTAGGGTAAACAACATGATTGAAATATTTGTGAATTTATTCATTATATAAACTATAAGTAAACTAGTCCAGCCTGTCTGCTAAATAAACTAGACTGTAACCATTGTTTATAATATCCTGTTAGCTAGAAACAATACACCAATTATCAACATATACCCCTGAACTCTGACCCCTGCGACCTGAGTAGAGGTCAAGTTTGAAACCTGAGCGCCATTAAAACTAGAAATGAAATAAATTGAGTTCTACCTCTACTTTTATGCACCATGTGGCTAATGAAGACAGGCCATTAAATGTGGATAATGTTTGGTATTACCGGTGAGAGCAGACTCTTGAAAGCATGGGCACAGGCATTAGAATTTGTGGTGTCAGTGTGAATTGAAACATGTCTCAATAAAAGCACTGGCCAAGGTCACAGATCAATAGATAAGCTTATTGTATACATATAAGCCAACCTGAATGTCCAGAGTTCAATATCGGAAAGGGTCAAGATGAACATTTGAATTTTTCAACCCCCCGTTTCCCCCTGATTTGGAAAAAGTGTCTAGTTGTTCAGATGGGACAATAAACTGAAGCCCGTTTGCTACAGGCTGTACACGTTAAAGATCCTGCGACAGATGGAAATCGAAAAGGAACAGGCTAATGCCTCTGTGGGGCAAACTTTCGCTCATTGCACACTGCATCATGGCATAGCTTGTCTTAAATTAGCCCACACGAGAAAAGTATAGGACGTAAAATGTAAAATTTCGCTTCATTTTTTCCAGTGTTGAACCAGTCTACTGGTGGAATGTATTAAGATCGTTATTAAATTATCTGTTGTGGTAATTGATCTGCTGGGAAACAACAAATTCCATTACCCCCCTCTACAAATTTACATTTTTCACACTCGTTAAGTAGATTCTTAGATGAAACTCAAGTTAATCTCTCATATCTAAATAATTCACAGACAAATTTTCATAATTTTCAATTCTGTATTCTAGTAGAAGAATATGATATCAGATGATTTACATGATATTGACACTGATCTAGGGTTAGGAATTCTAGGTTGTAACATTGTGCTTTAGTAATTTAACGAAAGCACTGGCATAGGCATAGGATTCTCTTCATTGTTATCATATAGTTGGCATTCTTATAGGGGAAAGAATTTAAAATGAAACAGTTTTATATCTTACTGGTCATATTTAGTTTCAAGTCTAGTTGGAATGATGGACATCTTTTTGGGGGGGAGGGGAGACGTTTGGAAGGAAAGAATTGGTGGAATATTTTCAATTCTCAGACAAATGTTTATGTTCTGGCTTAGAGGGGAAAGGAAATGAAATGGAGTTTAATGTCTAACTAGTCTTATTAAGTTTCAAGTCTAGTTGGAATGATGGAAATTTATTTTGGGGGTGGGGGGAGGTAGTTTGGCTAGGTATGGAAGAGGGGGGACAGTCTTGTAACGACAGTGTTTTTAGATAAGTTCTCTCAGTCTACCTATTTTAGCACTGATATTCAATATTTCAGATAAGACCTATAGATTATATTTTATAACAAACTGTTAAATTATACCAGGGTGGGATCGAGCTAGTTATTTTCACACAATCTATATTATGTCACAATATTTCTATTGTGGTGAGAAATACCAGGTGTGAGGGTAAGGGTCAGGATTAAATAAACTATCAAAGATCCTTACCTTGGCCATCTGGGCCTGGATTCCTTGAGACTGTAAAGCACTAACAGCTAAATCAGCTGCTTGGGGAGACTCGAAATCAACAAATCCATAACCTAGAATAGAAACATTTAAATCTTTTAATCTCTTTTTACAATATATAAATTAACGTTAATCTTTATTAACCCTTTCAACAGTGGCAACACCAGTGAGGGTACATTTGCACCTCAAGAAAAGTGGTTTGCACCCCCCCAATTGTACCCCGACTTTATTTTCAACAAATCTAAATGTCTACCTTTTTTTTCCCCAAAATATGTGTCAGAATGCACAAAATCAATTCATTTTTTATAACCCACTAAGACGCTCTATGAGAGACTTGTGACTATAACACCACCACAGTGTAGCCAGAATTTGAATTCAGCCTCAGTTGTTGTCCCCCCATTGAGTCAGTCTGCCCCTTATTTGTACCCCCAGTATTCGTTCATTTCTGTTCATTCATTCCTTACTTTTTATTGTTAGTAGCCCATACTCACCCCCTAATGACTAATCTATAATAAATATTCTAGAATTGTTCGTTTGTTTTATTTATTTATGTCTGGTCATGGACCTCTTTCAATCATTCCACCAAGATTCATTCATGTAATAATAATTATAATAATTCAGGAAAATCTCATATTAAGGTAATAAATATTCTACAAGTGTTTGTTTGTTTTATTTATTTATGTCTGGTCATGTACTAAGTTCTTGCGTGTGATGAGATTTGATCAGTAGATAAGACAGTCATGTTAAAAGATAAATTAGTTTTTATCAACATTTCTCTAACTGTCATTATTTTATTTACCTTATTAGGATTCATCTCACCATTTTCTCATGTTCCGTCTAAGACTTCTCAAATTTACCTTGCAAGTAGAAAATGTCACGCGGGTAAGTTTCAACGTACTAAACAATGTTTTGTTGACAGTTGTCCTAAATTGATATGTTTGTCAACATTTTAAAGATGAATTAACGAAGGTTGACAACTTTTAATTACCCAGGGTGCAACTTCAACGCAAATAGCAACCTTTTTTTTACACGTCTTGACATCTCCACGACCTTTCACTATGCCCTTTTATGGTAGCATATATCTCAAGATGGCTAGGATTTCTGTAGATTTTTAAAGGTTTCAAGTCCATTTGTCAAATTTTGATCTTTACTTAGTACAGGTTTTTTTCTGGTTCAGATTTTTTCAGTTGGTTTTTATCTTCATGGTAAATATCTCTAGATAATTTGTTTTTCAGTGTCAAATATAACTTATACTTGTGATAAACAGTAGCCTTTCTCTAGGGGGTGGGGTGGGGGGCATGAGGCTGACCCAGCTTTGCCAAAATGTAATAAATTTACATAAGAAGAGTTCTCACTGATAGTTCTGTGGTCCGTACCAGACCGTCACATACGGATACATACCCAGGTTGTCACTGCTGACATACCTACAAAAGTTCTCATTTTGAAACTGGGTTTGCTTGGTGTCAACTGACTGACTAGTGAAACTGTCAAAACATTCTTATTAAAATTGAAAAAAATTCTCAAAAATTGTTTCCTCGGAACACTGAACAGATCTAGACAAAACGCAAAGTGCAGATTATGAAACTGGGTTGTATGATTTCTGAACAAGACAACTGTTTGATCTAGCGTTTCTGAGCAAGACAACTGTTTGATCAAGTGTTTCTGAGCAAGACAACTGTTTGATCTAGTGTTTCTGAGCAAGACAACTGTCTGATCTAGTGTTTCTGAACACAAGCAACTGTTTAAACTAGTGTTTCTGAACAAGACAACTGTCTGATCTAGTGTTTCTGAACACAAGCAACTGTTTGAACTAGTGTTTCTGAACAAGACAACTGTCTGATCTAGTGTTTCTGAACACAAGCAACTGTTTAATCTAGTGTTTCTGAGCAAGACAACTGTTTAATCTAGTGTTTCTGAGCAAGACAACTGTTTGATCAAGTGTTTCTGAACAAGACAACTGTTTGATCAAGTGTTTCTGAACTAAGAAATTGAATTGAATATAAAATCTGGTAAATATTGAATATAATATATGTCTGTCTTGACTCAGGCTGATAATACATGAAAATAAACAATATTATATATGTAGTATATATTCAGCTGTCCAGTTGTACAATACAATCAATATATTACCTAGATATCATTACAACTCTACAAATAACTTCCCAAATAACTTTTACTCATGTTTTAGAATATGTCTGGTCAAGTAGGGTCATATATATTATATTAATGAGGCATTAGTAATTAACAAATTAAAGATGGTTTCCCTTATTTTCATTCATGGAAATCAAAATGCTAATACTTATATGAATAGAAAGTAGAGATGTTCTAATAACTTGGAAAATACCAGTTTGTCTCACATGTCCATAATTAATTCATAATTAGCTAAATTGGAACATAATTACCAGCAGAATTCCTTTGAGTGACCGATCAAGAAAGGTCAAAAGTATTTTTTTTGTTTATCCAGACTGTACATACACAGACATTTATGATTGGTTAAAACTTTTAATTATATGTGATAAGAACATAATGATATGATTGAGAATATATGATAATTCATTAGAAACATCAATTAATCAAATATTTTGCTTAATTTGACACTAAAAAATAAGGAAACCCATCTTTAAATGGTGTTTTCAGTGTTACAAGTAACTTCTACTAATTTTAAACTAATCTTGAGAAGGATTCGAACCCATGACACCTAATGTTATTCATGATCATAATATCAAGGCATTGTTAAAAGAAATGGAGTATTACATCCTACCAATGTCAAGCTGTACATACAGATATCTCTAGTAACAAAATTCAGAAAATGCAAGACAAAATCATAGTTTCTATAATTGTTTTAACATTGTTAATTGGCTTCATGTGATTTCATTTCATTTTCTTCCTCTGTCTTGTTATATCTTTAATCATTTGATTTTTATTCTTATATCTCCTGGTCTGATGAAATCTATTTCCCCTTTAGATTTACCTCTATATTCTGTGTATATTTTAATCATTTTACTTGATAATGTAACCTGTATGTGTTTCTAAACGTAGTATGTAATAAACCTAGAAGTAGTATATCTATATATCTTGTGTTTTTAATGTTACCTGTATGTGTTTCTAAACGTAGTATGTAATAAACCTAGAAGTAGTATATCTATATAACTTGTGTTTTTAACGTTACCTGTATGTGTCTCTAAACATAGTATGTAATAAACCTAGAAGTAGTATATCTATATATCTTGTGTTTTTAATGTTACCTGTATGTGTTTCTATACGTAGTATGTAATAAACCTAGAAGTAGTATATCTATATAACTTGTGTTTTTAATGTTACCTGTATGTGTTTCTAAACGTAGTATGTAATAAACTTAGAAGTAGTATATCTATATATCTTGTGTTCTTTATGAAATGAAATGAATGGAGTTTTACGTCCTACTGTTCTGCACTAAGTGGGCTTACAGTTATATTCTGTATGAAAATCAAAGTAAACTAAAAGTGGTAAAGAAACCAGTGGGCTTGTAAAATATATAAAGAAAGTAAACTGAAAGTTGTCAAAGAAAATATCTCAGTAGCGGCATAATGTCGTCAAATTTCTTTCACAAGACCCAAGTATTCAAATTTACCAGGTCAATATTACCTTTAATACTCAAATATTGACCCTTTCTCCACCAGTGTATATACAACTTAACCCTTCATATTGGTTTAATACCATATATAGATATATTCATAGAAAAACAGGCTTGAATCTTGAAGATGGTGTCAAAATAAAATCCTAACTCCTTTTTTATCAAATTTCTTCTCAAATTTTATCCTTCCCCAATTTTTCAAGAGATTTTACGATTAACCTTTGCCAAGTGAGACATCCTAGAGTAAAATACCTTAAAGTTTATATTTCCAATAATTATGAAAAAGAGGGTTTTTATTTTCTCCCAACTTTGATTTTGAAGTGGGTGCCAAACAGATCCTGATATCGTAAATGAAAGTAATATTTAATTTAAAAGTTAAAATGAAAATTGAACGCTCATTAAATTAACTTAACGTTGTCAAAATATCAACTTATAAAAACTGGTATTTAACAGTAGAATATTTGTGAATATGATCCAATATCATCATGTCCTATATCAGATTGGTTTTAAATTATTTACCAATGTTTCACCAATCTGTTGTTTTAATTTCGTATTTTGTTTTGCTGTTTGGATCGTTAGTACTTGGTGGATTTTATAATTTTACTAAATGTGCAGTTTGTTTCATAATTATACTCAATGGATAATCAACTTTGTATATTCTCACATTTGTTAATCACGTTTTTTTTTGGTTTTTCTTAAAATAATAAAAACTGTTCTTACCTTTACATTTGCCTGTTGTCTGATCTATTATTGCTTTTGTTGAAGTTATTTTACCAAATCTACAAAACACAAAAATAACACATATTAAATACAAGAACATCACAAAATATAAACACAAATTAAAACATTATATCAAATGAGGTTGAAGTCTGTGTAACTAGCACCAAGCTAAGCTGTATCTAGAAAATGCCTTAGGGGAGGGTGGGGGAGACAAAATTTAGAGGTGTCTCCCAGAGGTGATGCCTTAAGGGCCAAAGCCGCTTGAGGTCAGAGATCTGGGAAAGGCTGCCTGAAGCTAATGGATTTCAAGTGGCCTAAGATGAATTTTGAGAATTTAGAGGGCTTACTTTTCACTTCAAAATAAGACATTTCACAGACCTGAGTATGTGTATGTGGGGGATGATCAAAGTTTCTGTGTCTATAATTCCTATAATTTCTACAGACTTTTGCCAAACTGTCATATCTACAAATTCCATATGTAACAGAGATTCCTGGTTTCTGGTGGACCAGAAAATTATACAATTATTCTCTTAGAATATTGGAAAGAAGCCTGAAACCACTGAAGAATATAAATTTTGGCTTGATATTAACTTGAAGCTGTAAAATATGGTTGAACTAACATATTCCTATCCAAATTATAATCTGTTAATCGAAATTTAAAAAATAACAAATTGAAGGTTTATCAAGGACTAAAATAGGAACTGAAGTGCTCATATCCAAATCATAATCCATAACTCAAAATCTAAAAGATGAAATGAATTCAATAATCAAATAAAGAGGCCAAAAGTAGTCCAGACCAACAAATCTAGCCCTACCCACTCTTCCGACAGAGATATCGGCACGTTTAGGGTCATAATAACATAATAAAAGTCATATTTTATAAGAGTTACTCCGACCCTATTTTAGGTCACTAGTTTTTGGGGAATTTTCATCATGTTAATAGCCAAATTATCAATAAATTACAGTTTCTATTGAACAACTTCTCTTATTAAAGGATGGTTTATTTATAAATGAAGTAATATACAGTAATAGAATGGTAAAATATTAAGATAAATAATGATGGAGGTCAGACTGACTTGAAACAATATAAGTAAACTATAGTGACTTGTTCACCATCTAAAATTAATCTATTAAAACAAAGGGTATTCTGATTGTTATTATAGTCAGGTTGATAAGAGATTGAAGGAGATTCATATTTCAATGTGTCACTATGTCCTACAATCTAATTACAACCATTGTATAATATCCACTCTTACAGTTATTTACTTTATGTTTCCCTGCATTGGTGAAGCCAGGTTTACGTCCGACAGGAGGCGAGATATCTAAAATTGCCTGCATCTCTAACCTAGTTATGAGATTTTTGCCTGAAAAACTTGCTTTCTGGGCTGCGAGGGGTGGCCCCCTTTGGCTCCGCCACTGTTTCGATGTCCTGAAATTCATTATTGTTATCAATTTGGGCCGTAAAATTGCTGTTATTGTTATCAAGAAATTGATTCTACATGACACACTTTGATTGGTTAAAAATAATATATTAATAGAACCAGACAGCAGTAGAAAATGTGCTAGATTACAATTGCGAAGCAAAATCTGCGTCAGGAATACTGATTTGACCGAGGTTGTAGTCTAGCACATCCAGTCTGCTGGCTATTAAATTGCATCTGGAATGCACAGTCTACCGATGTCCTAGTCAAGAACATCTATTTATTTGGGTATGGAATACAGAGTCTATTAAGATTGTAGTCTAGAATATCCAGTCTGATGGTATTTCCTTAGGTCTGGAATACAGAGTCTACAAATGTCTTAGTCTAGAACACCCATTCTATTCGCTCTTTACTTGGGTCTGGAATATAGAGTCTACCAATGTCTTAGTCTAGAACATCCAGTCTATTGGCTATTTACTCCAGGTTCTAATCGATGAAACTGGATACTTTGATGTAAATTGCCATTATATTTCACATCTCATGCCAGACTGTAATAATTCCTCCCCAGCATTCCCAGAAATGGCTGTAAATCTGAACTGTAATGGTCTTGTTTTCTTAATGGTGATCATAAATCTCAGACAGGGGAAGTCCTTGAAATATTATACTAATCAACCTTCCAACACAAATAACCTTCATATCATTCCTCCTTCGTTCCATTCCTCTTCCCTTAACATTCCTACTCCAGTTGATATGTATTAATAATCACACACGACACAAAAAAACCTTTTCTTCTCTCCCCTTCCCCCTCTCTTCCTTCTCTCCCCTTCCCCCTACCCCCTCTCCCCTTCCTCCTACCCCCTCTCTTCCTTCTCCTAGTTGACAGCTTAAGATGGTATAAAATTTATTATGTAAAACAAATGAATATAAATATTTCAACCTTGTCTACCCCTTGTCTACCCCTGTCAGTTAAAATATAAATGGCTAAGCTGTAGATTAAATATTAACAAAATAGTAAAAATAAATTATTGTCCTAATGTCATTTATTATTTTTGACTGAAGATAAGAGAGAAATTTTAAATATTTAGAGGTGTAGGGGGTCAAATTCCAGGTTTCGATAATAGTATAATAAAACAGGTGGGTAAGATGTTGTAACATGTAGGGTTATATTTAAGAATGTCACCTTGCCCTGATTGAAGAATCCAAGCCCCTTTTACATTACAAAAATTATTCTGTTTAAAAGGGAAAGTTTGATGCATTAAAATTATCCCTTCATGTTTACGTACAAATGTTACATTAAAGAGCCTCAAAAAAGAGAAATTTTCACCCATTTACAACACCTTAAACTGCATTCAGCTTAATACTGACCTCGTGTAAAAGGTGCTGGCCCAATGTGTTTGGAGAGGCTTAAATTTTCCCATTGCCTAACCAGTTATAGGCTTAAACATTGAAATTCACACCCATATCTTAATGACTGCACTGGTTTAGTTCCAAATGTTGGAATATTAACTTGATAATTTATCCTGATGATGTTATTTATATCCTAAACCTGTGTATATGATGAAATATTGTCAAATAATGATATCTGTAGTAGTAAAGTTGTCAGTAGTCAGTGAATAATTATACATACAGTGATATAAAAAGTTTCCCCTCTAGCTGTCTCTGACCTGGATTTTTTCTGCTAGAAACAATAAAATATATTTATTAAGATGGCCTGAAGGAAACTAGCTGGTGACAGATTTATAACATATGTTATCACATTCCAAATCTTTACTTTCACTTTCTACTTTTACACAGTGGTTGTTTGGAGACAAACTCTAGCTCAGTTGAAATTCTTAAAAATAAAATCTTTAAATGATATTTAGTAATTGTGGGTACGATATATAGACACAGCTTTATAGAACAATAATCACTGGTTAAAGTTTTATGCAACATTTCGACATGTTCCCCCCCCCCCGGTGTCCTCAGACACATCATGATAAGAAGTGATGGTCAAACTATATATATATATAAATGGTTATTATTAATAAGTTTGGAATAAACACTCTCTCAGTTAAATAGGGAACCAGGGTTGAATCCCAGCATAGGTCCGTTCCCCGTTTGTTCATAGTTTTTGATGGGTGATAAATGCTATGTTTATTAATTTTAACATTTAGAGATTGGTGTTCTCTTGATGTTTCTAATTCAGTGATGCAGATCAGAAGAACTAAAATAGAAAAAGTCTTCCAATTTTTCAGATGAAACAACTATGTAGCCCTTTTAAAAAATGTAGTGAAATGAATGGAGTTTTACATCCTACTTTTCTGCACCATGTGGGTTAATGAAGACGGGCAACGCCATGCAGGGTGTAATGAGGGAAATTTTTAGCATTGGGCCAAAAAAAACCAAAAAATCAGTAGAATTGGGTTTCCGCCGGTAGAGCGGTAGACAATATCCAAAAGCAGTAGAAACCCGACAACATCAGTAGGTTACACATGTATGGCATTGGCCTGCTCTTTTTCAATTTCCAACTGTCGAGAGATCTTTAATGTGCACAGCTTATAGCCCTTTTAGAGAGTTCACACAACTAGTCACAATATTCAGTATTATGTGATATATATATATATTAACATAATGATATATTATATTGTTGTTGGATATATCAGTCCGATATTGATAGTGATTAGGGTACCTGTAGTAGAAGTTGTTAGTAAAAGAGATTATTATAGCCGACATATGTTGTATAAAAATTACAATATATCTCATGTTTTCTTTTCACTGGTCAGTCAATATCAAATATTACTGTTTTTATTATAGACCAATAATCAAAACAACATGAAAATATGTGGCTGTGTTCCTTGATTGTTAAAATCGTGTTGGCTGATTGTTATATTTGGTTGGCTGATTGTTATATTTGGTTGGCTGATTGTTGTTCTCTGTCTTGGATAATATCATTCATATCAATAAGGTTGAATTCTTTAGGTGTTTTTTTAGGAGTTTATTGTAAAGATCTAAGAGTAGACAAGGTTATGATTGTTGTCTGAATGTATTCTGTGTAAAAAATCAACATGATAATATGTTATTAATAGATTACTGCATTCTTCTCTTTGTTAGAAAAACTTGAATGAATCGAGAAAAACTTGAATGAATCGAGAAAAACTGAATGAATCGAGAAAAACTGAATGAATCGAGAAAAACTGAATGAATCGACTGTTTAACAGAAAAAAAAGAACAGAATTAAAAAGAACAGAATTAAATGAACAGAATTAAACAGAACAGAATTAAATGAACAGAATAAAGAATATGATAGAAGAATGGGTTGTAAAAGTACATCCCTGAAAATGATACACTAAATCTTTGTTCTTTTTTGGATAAATTTTTTAAAAATAATTTTGAAATTCTGCAGAATGGATACTAACTGGCCACTAGTATATATCAGGGATCTCATTCTCTAAAACTTTACTTAAATAAAATCCAGATTTTAAGATATACAGTAATCTGATTGGATAATAAAACTTAATTTAAAATCAATTTTAGTGATTGACCAATCAGATGACTGGAACACTAAAATCATCTTAAGTTAAGTTTTCCAGAATAAGGCCTCTGATATATAAATCTTATTTTTCTATTTGAGTAAAGTATGTAAGTATGTGCACTCACTGGACAGTGAGGAAGAACACGAAGAATATTCTACAGAACAATTCTAGGGTTTATTCCAAGCTACTTCTATAATATCTGAATTCCTATTTAACTAAATCGTCAACAACAAAATATTCTACAAAAGATCTTAAAAATCGGATTTACAAATCTGACTTCCTGTTGTCAATTAAAGAATACATGATCTGTTGGTTCGATGTGAAATATGGCCGTCAAAATGACGAGTTACGTTGTTTCCCAGCCAAATTATAATATAAATTACGCTGGGGTATCATGGGAAAAGACGGGGAAATAATCGGGTTAAAATGAAGTTGTCATTTCCAATCTATTTGACACTGAAATCTCATTCACATCAGAATTAATCAGCTTTATTTTAAACAATATCCCGAGACAGGACTGGAGAAAATAGACCAATTTACCTCAATCTCATCTTGATATTAAAATAGAATAAAATACATGAATTCAGACTGACAAGAATTACGTTTTTCATGCCAATTTTATAACGTACAGTTTTATGTTATTTGCCAGAATTGGGAGCCAAATTTGATGGCAATAATTTTTAGAATATTAAATAATACGCAAAAAAAAAGAGAAAAAAAAATTGACTGGATGTAAGAAAAGATGGACTGGATGTAAGAAAAGATGGACTGGATGTAAGAAAAGATTGACCGCATGTAAGAAAAGATTGACCGCATGTAAGAAAAGATTGACCGCATGTAAGAAAAGATTGACCGGATGTAAGAAAAGATTGAGGACATCTTTCAAGTAAGAGTTAAGTAAGAGTCACTGTGCTACAGAGGCTAAGTTTTAAGCCAGACAAACAAGCCTAATACAGTTCTAAGAATATAACAAAAATAGGTCTTAATTGATTGGTTTCAATAATCAAACATGATTGGATAAACAATGGTGCTTTAAACAATGGTGCTTCTATTGTGTGTACAATAAATGAGACCGAACAGACGGGTGTTGGCAATATCGTTCACATTACATAAACATAAAGAATTGTTTAAAAGTTAAAAGTTTTTGAAGATCCTGAAATGAAATGAAATGAAATGATTTCGATTTCCAACTGTCGAGGGATCTTTAACGTACACAGCCTGTAGTACACAGGGCCTCGGTTTATTGTCCCATCCGAACGAACTAGACGCTTTTTCCATGTCAGCCCCTCTTACCTGTATCACTGACAGGGGAAAACTGGGTTGAAATATCCAAAGGTATTATCTTGACCTATGCCAGGATTGAATCTTGGACCTTCAGGTTAGCGAGCAAACGTCTAACTCACTGAGTCACCACACCTTCCTTTGAAGATCCAAGCACATGAATAAAAATGTCTACTGGATACAACACGGATGTCTATTTTTACAATGTCTGAAAACATCAGAATGTCTGAAAGACAGATGAGATCTGTGTATTTATCCAGTTTCTATCTATGTATGTAATTGTCGTGTAAAACGATCTATATTTGGAATCAGAAGATATAAGAAAGCTAATTTTAGAAACTTATTATTTTTCTGACTTTTTTACCATTTTAACCTATAAATATACCTTCAACTATTACTTTTAAAAATTACTTTATTTAAAAATAGAAAATCTTGGGAATAAAAAAGCCATTTTAGTTATTTTCTATTTTAAAATCTCAGAGTTATGTTTGTACAGATTAAAGATGCAGTATATATAAACCTTTTTGTACATATGACGAAGGCCAATATCATGTAATCTGCAAATATTAGATGGTTTTTTCCTTATTAAAGTAGACCCTATCAAATTGTTAGAGTACAATTAGAAACAAAACACATTACAGTTTTTGAAGATTAGTAATTTACAGAATATATTTTGAATTATTAATATTTTAGTCATAAGAAAGAATTGGAAATAAAAATTGTTAATTTTTCATTTCTAACTGACTTATAAAGTTATAAAACAATAAATTTTTCACCTTCACAAGAAATCAACATCAGGAGAAAAAAAAGTCACAAATGAAAATATATTTTAAAAAAATATGACAATCTCAGTGAAAAATTCTCAGCAGTGAAAAAACAAAATATTTATTTTTTATTGAAATAACAAAGGCCCCCCCCACCCCCCTTTTTTTATAGTAACCCATATCTCCATAAAATTAATCCAAGAAATAGAGTCAGATCTACAATCTTACATTGTTTTCTTGATACTTTATAGTCGAAATCAATTATAAAATACAGATTATATATATATACCCATCATTACCGTGCTGGATTTGTTAAATAGTCGATTTCAGATAGCAGGGATTAGTGTCGATTATTAAATTAACACCTCCCTTTCTGAAAAAATGCATCATCCTCAGGGTTTCAGTCAAATTTTATCTACTATCTTATACTTAATTTATAAAAATAACGATACTGGGCGATCAGGATTATCATGTTAATAATTGAGGCTGGATAATCTAGATTAAACCACGGCAATAATTGTCATGCTGTACGGCAGGTTGGTATGAAAAATGAGCGAGAACTCGACAAGGTTGTTACAAAACCACGGTAATTATAAACCAAGCAGACGCTGGAACATATTTTTATGGCTGTTTTAAGTAGATATTTGACGAGAGCACATCATTTCTTCTGAATTATTCATATCCTTACTTTTGTTATTTGTCTAAATTGGATCTGGAATGATTTGTTTCGACTCAGACAAGTTAAAATAATGTACTACATTAGCTATGTTTTCTATCTGACTTTCTATTTTACAAAATATCTTGTGATTATTTTAACTTAGGAAGTGACAAGTCAAGTCACAAGTAGGTTTGTCCGTGGAAACATGTGAAATAATTTGCATTGACTCAGACCAGTTAAAATAATGTACTACTTTAGTAAAGTTTTTTATTTGACTCTGAGAAATAGTAACGTTGAGTAAATAATCATATTAAATTATATAATCTCTATTCAGAAATGGGCATCATTTCTTTAATCATGTAATATAACTTCTATAAGTGAGTTTCATTCACCAGTCATTCTAGAAGTGAAATATAATAAATAACATAGATGAGAAGAGTTAATATCAAATTGGATTGTCGTCTGCAACCTAAATGGGTTCAAATCCTGCTCAAGGTTAAATAATTCGGATGTCAAGTTCTTCTGATTGGCATATCATTGTCAGCTTTCAACTCCCCGATCGAAAGAATTACCTATCCTAAATAGAAAGACAAGGTTTATCACTTGAGAAACCTTTGAGAAATAGATAGTAGACAAACCAGCAAGCAATATAGAATTTATCAACTTGTGGGTCACCCCTTTCCCTCCCTATTGGGACTTCTATAGTATAAACAATAGAGAATTAGATTAGATTAACTAACGACTAATAGTTCATTAGCTGCCACCAATCTATTGCCGTCAAACATTCAATGTGGATTGTGGGTTTCGCCGTTTAGTTTGGATCGTTAGTCCTTGGGTACTTAATTACTAACGAACCCTTCCTAGTTCCAAGTTGACAATGAAAGAAGATTGATATGACTGTCTCAGAATTTAAGTTTTTTTATGGAAACAGGAAATTAGCCTGGTTTCATTTGTCTAAGATTTACACTAAAATAACTCCAATCTGTCAGTTTGACTTCTGTGATAAATTCCAGTCCTAAATTACTGTAACTAATAACTCTATTCCTTCTCAATTTTATTCTGAAATAAAAACCTGTTTGTCTTCATTGAACTAAAACCAGGTTCCTGTCAAATAACTTTTAGTTAAACATTTGTATCTTAAAGAAAGGTTTTCTTATTTTTTACTGTCAAATAAAGCAAACTATTAGATTAATTGGTGTTTCTAATGAATTATCATGTATTCTTAATCATATCATTATGTTCTTATTGCATATAATTCAGAGTTTTAACCAATCATAAATATCCATGTAAGTACAGTCTGGATAAGCAAAAAAAGACTTTTTGATCTTTCTTGATCAGTCACTCATTGGAATTCTGCTGGAAGACCTTAAATTAAGCAGTGTGTCTAGAGTCGCTAGCGGAAAGGAGTTTACAGTAGAACTCCGTCACCAGTATCTAAAAATCTTACGATTAAATCAGAAACTATTAGATTATTTAGTTAACGGAATTGTACAAAATTCTAAGAGAGATTTCTTGAGAAAACGTGGCCAGGGCTTGAAGGTAAGGTGATAAAACATGGCCAGGGCTTGAAGGTAAGGTGATAAACAGGAACCAGGCCTTGAAGGTAAGGTGATAAAACATGGCCAGGGCTTGAAGGTAAGGTGATAAAACATGGCCAGGGCTTGAAGGTAAGGTGATAAAACAGGGGCCAGGCCTTGAAGGTAAGGTGATAAAACAGGGGCCAGGCCTTGAAGGTAAGGTGATAAAACATGGCCAGGGCTTGAAGGTAAGGTGATAAAACAGGGGCCAGGCCTTGAAGGTAAGGTGATAAAACAGGGGCCAGGCCTTGAAGGTAAGGTGATAAAACAGGGGCCAGGCCTTGAAGGTAAGGTGATAAAACAGGGGCCAGGCCTTGAAGGTAAGGTGATAAAACAGGGGCCAGGCCTTGAAGGTAAGGTGATAAAACAGGGACCAGGCCTTGAAGGTAAGGTGATAAAACAGGAGCCAGGCCTTGAAGGTAAGGTGATAAAACAGGGACCAGGCCTTGAAGGTAAGGTGATAAAACAGGGGCCAGGCCTTGAAGGTAAGGTGATAAAACAGGGGCCAGGCCTTGAAGGTAAGGTGATGAACAGGAACCAGGCCTTGAAGGTAAGGTGATAAAACAGGGGCCAGGCCTTGAAGGTAAGGTGATAAAACAGGGGCCAGGCCTTGAAGGTAAGGTGATGAACAGGAACCAGGCCTTGAGGGAAAGGTGAGAAACAGTGACAAGGGCTTTCAGGTAAGGTGATAAAATGTGGCCAGGGCTTTCAGACCTGGTGATAAACGATGGCCAGGGCTAGATTTAAAGGTTATCTCATAATCTTAATAAAATTATACTCACTGTTGGCATAGATTAACTAAATCTTTATCGGACGTATTAGGATTAAGGCCACGGATATATAAATTGGTTTTACTAAGACTTTCTCCGGAAACGCTTTGACTGCTCGACTGGCTGCTGGTGGTGTTAGGGCTGGCGGCAGGCATGTTTCGTGCTGGATAATTCTGAAAAAAACATAAAATAGTCAGGATTAAAATACAGTTTGATAGATTTGACTGAATAAATCACGACTGATTGTTTCTAAGTTTATAACTCCCGTCACACACGACCAACGGAGATAGATTCGTCTCATTGAGAACCAAAAATAGTTCCTGATCTCGTCTATAACTAGCTGGAATCCATTCCTGAAGTCAGTACAGTAATATAATTCCGTTATTATACATTAATCTGTCCAAAATTCAGATTTAAAACTTTCAAAATAATAACGTCATTAATTTTCTCTGACTATTGGCCCAAAATCACTTCACAAACTGAAAATATCATTGGCCATAGGTAGACAACCTTGTTATGAGTTTTACGTCCTACTTTTCTACAACATGTGGGCTAATGAAGACAGGCAATGCCATGCAGTGTGCAATGAGGGAAATTTTTCCAGGACAGCATGCTTTGCCTCTGTACATTTATTAAATTCTATATAAAGTTTTTTTTTTTTTAAGAAATCACCCAAAAAATGACATAAGAATCTAAAATACAGGGGCTTCCATCATTGAAATTAAATATAATCCTAAATATACAACACTGAATGGTTGATACTGTTTCAGGTTCTGTTTTAATATTTCTAAATATAACGTACATAAATCATCATCGATTATAAACTGAAAACCTCAAACTAAGCAAAACCATACACATCAATTGATATAAAATAATTAATAATTTGAGCCTGAGGGATTTAAATATCGGTCATTAAAAACAAAGGGAGATAAATCTAGGGCAATATTGAATAATATGTGGGTAGAAACAAAAGATACCAATAGTCGTGATATTTATATCTTTTGTTTTTAGACTCAGACGTATTTATAATCAATAAGATATAATTAAGAAAATAAAAGTCTTTCTAAGTCACTGGTTTTGTTGGTTGGATGTAATTAGATTATTTATAGTTGGTTTGAGAGTATTATAGTCACAAATTCTACTCATTTAACATAAAATATTAATACCTGTAGAACAACTATCATTCAAAACCAAATTTTCAAAAAATAAGAGAAATCAGAGATTCAGACAAACTACTGGTATGTTTCATGTTTTATCATTTTGTTAAACTATCTTGACAGTGAAATCAATCTGAAGTCAGGGTGATTATAAGGATGGCGGTAAAAGATATGAGAAGATATCGGGGAGAAAACAATCAATAGAGCCATTTAAATACCTGTCATTTATTACAGTCAGATATCTCTGAACTAAACACCTAATCACACTCTAGTCTAGTTCAATAGTCTACTAAACACCTAATCACACACTAGTCTAGTTCAATAGTCTACTAAACACCTAATCACACTCTAGTCTAGTTCAATAGTCTACTAAACACCTAATCACACTCTAGTCTAGTTCAATAGTCTACTAAACACCTAATCACACTCTAGTCTAGTTCAACAGTCTACTAAACACCTAATCACACTCTAGTCTAGTTCAATAGTCTACTAAACACCTAATCACATCCTAGTCTAGTTCAATAGTCTACTAAACACTTAATCACACCCTAGTCTAGTTCAATAGTCTACTAAACACTTAATCACACTCTAGTCTAGTTCAATAGTCTACTAAACACCTAATCACACTCTAGTCTAGTTCAATAGTCTACTAAACACCTAATCACACTCTAGTCTAGTTCAATAGTCTACTAAACACTTAATCACACTCTAGTCTAGTTCAATAGTCTACTAAACACCTAATCACACTCTAGTCTAGTTCAATAGTCTACTAAACACCTAATCACACTCTAATTCATCTCGCAGGTGTATATGGATCTATATTGATTGAAGTTTGATATGTTTTTTGACAACCTGTAACAAATCAAATGTCCCTAAAAGAACGAGAATGTCTCTAAGGTTTAAAACCTAAGTTTTATATTATACTGCTGGAATGATTGTAGGTCAATATCTCTCATTATATTGCCAGATCTATTCTATTCTATCATATTCTACAGAGATATTATCAGTTTTCTGTATAACAATGGCGTCAGACTGGCATCATATATTCATATTTTCTGGTTAAAATGAACTTTACAGATATATTTAATATTTATTTGTTCTTTCGATTAAAAATTCGAGAGATACAGGTTTGATATTATCTTTATTATGACAGAAAATTTATAACGTTTGATATTTGTTCCTTCTGTTGGTTAAGAATATGAGTTCTTTAACACTGTTTATAAATAAAATGGGGTTTTATGTCTCTTGATATAGAATATTATATGAAGTCCTTTATAAATAGTGATATTTACCAATCCCGGTACTGATCAACCTCGGTAACCCCGGTAAAAATCCACCCTGGTAACCACCCGCAAGGTGAGTCTAATCAGTCTGAAGAGTTCAAACACAAACGAAACTAGTCAGCCAATCTTTATCTCTATTGTTATATGTTTAAATGTGAGAAAACCAGCCTAAACCTTGGCCTGTACCTTTCTTATTGACAGATTTTAGAAAGAGATCATCTATAATCTATATTTGAGTATTAACAATTGAAAAGGTTGTCTATATTAACAATTGAAAAGGCTGTCTATATTAACAATTGAAAAGGCTGTCAATATTAACAATTGAAAAGGCTGTCTATATTAACAATTGAAAAGGCTGTCAATATTAACAATTGAAAAGGCTGTCTATATTAACAATTGAAAAGGCTGTCTATATTAACAATTAAAAAGGCTGTCTATATTAACAATTGAAAAGGCTGACAATATTAACAATTGAAAAGGCTGTCTATATTAACAATTAAAAAGGCTATCTATATTAACAATTGAAAAGGCTGACAATATTAACAATTGAAAAGGTTGTCTATATTAACAATTGCAAAGGCTGTCTATATTAACAATTGAAAAGGCTGACAATATTAACAATTGAAAAGGTTGTCAATATTTACAATTGAAAAGGCTGACAATATTAACAATTGAAAAGGTTGTCAATATTAACAATTGAAAAGGCTGACAATATTAACAATTGAAAAGGTTGTCTATATTAACAATTAAAAAGGCTGTCAATATTAACAATTGAAAAGGCTGTCTATATTAACAATTGAAAAGGCTGTCTATATTAACAATTGAAAAGGCTGTCAATGTTTCAATGTTTAGAAAACAATCTATCTAAAATAAAGCACTCAAATCAATCTGGAGTGGAAATAGATTGTTATCGTGTAAAATACTGTCAATTATTATTGGTAATTATAGTTGAATAGTACCAGATAACTTTTACTAGAACCACAGATAGCTGAATAGATACATTCAATACAAGATGGCAGGATACTTGGAAACAGAAAAAAGATTACCAGATCATTTTTACTAGAATCTATCAGTTAATAGTAATGGTTAAATAAGAATGTGTATCTATCTAATATTGAAAGTTGAATTTATCTGTCCTATCTCTTGGTCATCCCACGTAAGATAAGATAATACATGGACTTCCTTGTTACAGTGGACATCAGATAGGAATAATTATTTTTAACAAGATAAAACCAAAATCTGAAGTTTGTAAACAAAACTTTCAATTCAGAACAACATGTATATAAGAAAAAACTCATAAACCAAACCTTCAATTCATAACAAAAAAATTCAATCAAAAACTCACAAAAGTCTGAAGTTTGTAGCAAAAAACAAAGAATTATAACTGACCTTAAAAGGGTTCAAATCTCCAAAAAAAAAAAAACTATTAATGATTGATTTCTATAGTTATTCTAGTTATAATTTCACAGTTTAATATCCTCAGTTATATGGTGCTTAAGTTTTACTGTGTTCACTGTTTAACCTGTGTTCACTGTTTAACCTGTGTTCACTGTTTAAGCTATGTTCACTGTTAATCTAAGTTACATTAAGTTAGATAGAAAGATATCACAGTACTGGTCAATATAAATAGGTTACAATCTAGAAAACCAAACTAATGTTAAGAAGATTATACTGTTCAGTGAATACCAGTAATCTACAATCAACATTAAATTATAAATTAAAACCATCATTCAGAATATCTTACCCAACTTAAAACAATGGTCAGAATTAACTGAACTTTCTGGTGATAGTCCAAATCATCTAAAACAAACTTGAACTAATGGTCTAATATAATAATTTTATAGTTCACAATATATCTAACAAAACTTGAAAGAAAAGTCTAATATACACTGTTTGAAGTCAGAATAATTAACAAAACTTCAACCTGTGGCCTAATATAACTTCACTTTCAAGTTTTAGTCCAAATCAACCAGTGACCTAATAGTTATACACTGTTTGAATCAATGATACAGAATAATTAACAAAACTTCAACCAGTGGCCTAATATAACAACTGCACTTTCAAGTTCTAGTCCAAATCAACCTAATATGACCTAATAGTTATACACTGTTTGAATCAATGATACAGAATAATTAACAAAACTTCAACCAGTGGCCTAATATAACTTCACTTTCAAGTTTTAGTCCAAATCAACCAGTGACCTAATAGTTATACACTGTTTGAATCAATGATACAGAATAATTAACAAAACTTCAACCAGTGGCCTAATATAACAACTCCACTTTCAAGTTTTATAAGACATGAACTAGAAGTGAGGAGTAGATATCACTAACACAAGACAATATTATATAATAAACACACATCTTGAATATAATATTAAACACATCATGTATCAAGATATAGTTTATAATAATTATAATAAAATTTGAAGCAGTGTTCAACCAACCTGAATGAACTGTCCAATACACTGTTTCTAGTTGAAGATATGATCCAATAGAATATTACAATATTACACTGTTAAAAACTAGTACTGTTCAATATACACAAACTTGAAGCATTAGTCTAATTCTAGTCCACCACCAACCTGACAGGATGGGTCTAATATATAGAAACAAGATATCAAACTACCAGACCACCAGTATATATGTCTGCTAGACAGGTTCAACCAGTTGTAATGTCCAAGTATTTGAACCTTATGGCAAGAACCCAGTAGGA